CCCCATACTCCTCCCACCCCACCACCTCACCCCCGCCCTGCCCCTCACTCCCCACCCCTCCGCTCACCTGCAGTGCATGATGTACAAGTGGTGCTCCCCATACTCCTCCCACCCCACCACCTCACCCCTCCTCACCACTCCCTGCCCCTCACTCCCCACCCCTTCTCACCTGCAGTGCATGATGGATGAGTGATGCTCCCCGTACTCCTCCTGGCCCAGCACGATGAAGGGCTGTTCGGGGCGGCCACCCTCGGGGCCCCGCATGGATGCTTCCACTGGCTCCGTGGCGGGCTCTGGGCCAGGCTCAGTCTCTGTACCACTTGCATCAGACTTTTTCTCTGTGCTCTGCCAACCAGCAAGGGTCCAGTCAATGGGAATCCAGGCCAGCACCCACCTGGAGTCTCCCTACACCACTGTGTATCGGGTCAGTAGGTGTCCAGCCCACATCTGCTTGGCATCCATGTGCACCACCACATGTGGGGAAGTCAGGCCACAGCACCCGGGAGGGCTCCTGGGGCCTGAAGGAGGCGCTCTGAGCAGGAAGCATGGCACTCAGCCATCCATGCCCCTAACCGAGGCTCTGGGCCACCCACAGGCCTGCTGTGTGGTATAAGCCATGGCCACCCCTCCCCCCAGCCAGAGCTGCGAAGGCAGAGACTGAGAGAAAAGGCTAAATGCCTCACCAAAGCCTTGCGGCCCACAAGTGACAAAGCACATGGGATGTGAGCCTGGACCCACCTGGGCAGCCCCCACCGGGGCAGCCCCCTGCCAGTCAGAACCTGTTCCCAGAGACCAAGGACAGTCAGGGGGGCGCTGGACCACAGCTAGCCAAGCACAAAAACACCCCAACCCTGTTATCCCCAGCGCCGCTGGAGGTGAGCCACCTCTTGGGGCGCTTGGTGTTGGCCCTCACACCTACTACATGCTCAGCCAGCCCCACACTAGCCCAGGGAGCACAGCAGGGCCCAGGCTACACCCGGGGTTCTGGATGCTCCCAAAAGGCACCAGGCAGAGCCACTCAAGAGCAACATGGGGCAGAGACCTCTGAACTCAGAGGCCTTTGGTTTCAGCACAGGTGCCCCATGCAGACGGGGCTCCAGGTGCAAATCTATGCCAAGGTGCCAGAGTAGAGCCATTTGACAGCTGAGTCTTAGAGGTGTATGGCTGTCCAACTGGAACCTACACGAGGTGTTGACTGGCCAAAAAGCTCTTGAAATCAGCAAGTAGCCCCACTTAGGAGGAAAACGGTCAAGAAGGTGACTTGGGCGAGAGAACCAGTAAGCACCTTCAGTCAGAGTCCATGACAGACACGGGAGCAGTGTGGACTGCTGGGGAGAGCAGGCCCAGACCCACGTGCAGGAGCGAGGGAAGGCTCCAGCGCCCAGGCCACAGTGCCCACTGGGGATGTGGCCTCAAGCCATTGCCTGCAGAGCCTCAGGACACCAGCAGGTGGCCGGGGAGAAGGGTCCTAGCCATGGACAACAGGCCTCTCCCTGCCGAGTCTCGCTGGGCCGACATGCACTGTAAACCCAAGGGGAGGCGGCCCCATGCAGGGGTGCACACCAATTTCGTCAGAACTCGCTTCCTGGGACATGTCCAGGGCTGGCACCATAGAGCCCCTACTCAGGGAAGTGCTGTACTGGGAGAAGGCACCCCTGACGAGCCAAGCAAACCAGGAGCCGAAAGACTCAGTGTGCAAGCAGCTAAAGCCAGCTGGTAAAACCACACTCTGCACAGACTAGCAGGCAAGAGGCAGGCGGGAGGCAGGAGCAAGGCACCGCCCACCTTCCCGTGTCCTAATGCTCAGCCGTGTTCCCCACGCTCCGAGCCCCCGAGGCCGCCCCACCTGGGACATGGTCGTTGAGAGCAGCTCCTTGCGTTCCTTGCCGTGGTCCTGTAGGCGCCGCTGCCGGTGCTGAGGCCAGCTGGACTCCCCAGCAGCCAGCCCACTGAAGAGGCCCTTCCCATCCTTGGCCCCAGACACCGGGTCCTTGCCCTTGGCAGCCTGGAGGACAAACAGGGTGGGGAAAGTCTGTGCTCGAGAGGGGACAAGAGCCACGGAGCACCTCCTCCCCAACAGCCTGGAGTAAGGGTCTTGCCAGAAGGTGGTAAGCGGGTGGTGAAGACAGGACTGTCTCAGCCAGGTGGGCAACGCCACGGGAAACCTCCATGTCCTCCTCTGCACCCTCTCCTCCCACCGGGACACACAGACCCGCGATCTCACAGGACAGCGATTACAGTTAAGGGAACAGAACATCTACTGAGCTGTGGTTACGAGGCAGGACAGGCCCTACACTGGCACCACGCTGACAAGCAACTGTGTTCGGGCAGAAAACGACACAGTCACCTCTCTTGAGGGAAAGGAACCCAATGCCCTCTGCTGCTCTTGGCCAGGACTAAGCCAGCTGATATTAACACTGAGGTGCTTCTCGGAAAGGATGACTAGGCAGCCAGAATTTTTCATCAGAAATTGTTGGAAACCCAAGGAGCTTTGATGAACATAAACTGGATAGGAGAGAAACTGGCATTTTCTGGCTCCTTTGCACACAAGAATGATAGGGTCAACCAAGATGACAGCAACAAGGAGTGGCTTCCGTGCCCACCCCGCCCCACAGAAAGGAGCCACCATCCCAATCTCTTCCCGCCCTGACCGCCCGGGCTCTCCTCCCAGCCGTCTTCCCAGAGACGGTGATGACCCCCCATCCCTCTCATGCTCACTTTTTGTAACACTCTTAGCAAAGAGACACAGATGCAAGGGGCCACTCAGGAGAGACCAACCGCCTCCCAAGTCATTCACCCTGAAGACCTAAATCAAGACAATAAACTCAACCAAAGCCTACACTTGCTTTCCTGTTCTACTTACTTTTCCCTTTCACTAATGGCTTTAAAACAATGGACACAGATTCCTAGGAACTCTGGGAAGTCCATGCCGGGATGCTTCTCAGGAATGGCCAGAGAAGGCCCTTGTCTGTGAAAGCCAGAACCTGTGTAAGGCAGAAACCTGCCAGAGAAGGCACCTCAAATATGCACTAAAAACACGTGTGAGCAGGTGACTACAAACACACGTGAGCGGGCGAGGAGACTCTCAAGGGCTGTCAGTTTACGTGGAGACTAACCATGCCTGCTGTGCAGAGCGTGTGCTGTTTCTGCTTGTGCAGGGGCCGCAGTGACTTCCACTTAATGCTCACAGCAGAGATCCCGAGAGAAACCCCTGCTTCTGAGATCCCTGGCTTATTTACGAGAAGCAGGCTTCTTAGGCAAGATCAAATCAACAGCCTAGGAAGAAACCCAGTAATAACATTATTAACAATAACTACTAATACCAATGATCTGGGGATGGACTGAGAGCTCAGCTACAGGAAACGCTGAGAAGCACACTTCTCCTCCAGCACAGGGGGTTGCCATGGCAACCGGTACACTGAGAACTTTGCAAACAAGCACTGCCTTAAAGATGAGGACATTGCCTTAACGTGTGGAAACTGAGGCCGTGAGGGGCTTACTTGCCTGACACAGTTAGGGCATGACCGAGCAGACTCACACCCAGACCTGACAGCAAACGCCACGCTCGGAGAAACGTGAGTGAAGCAAGACCCTGAAGTGGACGCGGAGGAAAGTGACACAGCGTAGGTGAGACAAGAAGAAATGCCATCATTCTGGAGCTGAACAACACACCAAACCTTTGACAGCCAGGGTTCAAAGGGACTGCCTTGCTTTCCTGATCTCACAAGCTTTCCACCTGTGAGTTTCCTATCGCTCGCTTCAGGGCAAGATACTTTGCGTTTTCCTTCTCTGACAGGTCTCTGCCTTACCGAAGTGCCAGCTTTTGCAGGTTTTACTGTGTAATCCCGACAAAGCCCTTGTTGTGGGGCCCTGGCCATCCCATCCCATGCCCACGGAGCACGCAGCAGGTCAGGCCGTAGCACAGCCTTCACTGATGCTAGAGGGCAGCAGGACAATGACAAGAGTCCCGAGGTACATGGCACTCCTCACACAGCCGGCCGGCGTGCCCACACCCTGCGATGTGACCCACGGTGCCACCTTCGTTCCATAAATCCACTGATGACCCCCTCCACCTATGGGCCCAGAAGACAGGCAACTCAGCTGAGGAACCCCAGAACTAAGTTGTACTCGATCCACTCGCTCACAGTCTGCCTCCGGCAGCTCGGGAGAGAGCTGTTAGCCTGGCTTTTTCATTCTCTCTCACTGCTCACTGAAGAGGCGGCTAGCCCTGGACTCAGTTCCCTGAGGGTACCTGAGCACATCAGGAAGGGTCCCAAAGCCCCTGTAGCTTGACAAGCAGTCATACAACAGGGCAGGGACTCGTTCCAGACGCCTGGCCTCACCTGAAGCAAAGCAAAGCCACCCGGAAGACAGGCCCTCCCAACACAGATGTCACAGTGAGACAGCAACAGCCTTCTCTTCCCACCTGCCGAGCGACACCCCGGGAACAGCCATGTCTCCAGTTAGGAGGTAAGTGAGGTGAGTAACAGTGGCAAGTACAGGAGTCCGTGGACACTTTGCTTTCTTCAATTGTCCGCATAATGACGTAATTCCCACAACGGTCCCTTGCTTACTGAGTGGGTGTGAATTACGCTGGGACTGGGGGAGACCGAGGACAAAATGCAGGCTCTGTGAACCCAGCAGCAGCTTGGACGCCCAGAACCCTCATGCCCTCCACAGCCACTGCCATCGGAGACGCCAGGAGAGCTGTGAACTGTGGTTTTGCAGTTACTTCCTTTTGTTAAAAAAATTTTGCCTCCAGATTCATCCTGAAAGCTGGGAGCGTACACCATCATTGTCATCGGTTTGGCGACATAATGCTGTGAACGTTAATAACAATTCATAACAACGTAGCCATGAACACAGCAGTTACAGCATCACAACAACTAGGCAAAATGTTGACAGGTGTGAAATTCACAAAACCACTGATTGATCACATTTCCATTACAAAAGCCCACTCATTCTATTCTGTGCTAACCTGGCAATACAGGAGCTCTGGTTAACCACTCGGCTGTGAACCAAAAGGCTGGTGGTTTGAAGCCACAAGCTGCTTTTGGCATGCTTTTGGTCAGGTGTCTGAAGCCACATGCCACTCCATGGGAGAAAGATGGGACAGCCTGCTTCTATAAAGATGTACAGCCTTGGAAACCTATGGGGCAGTTCTAGTCTGTCCTGTAGGGTTGCTATGAGTCACAGTTGATTTGATGGCAGTAGGCTTGGTTTGGGGTTTTAATCTGGCAACAAAGTACAGCTTACACTGTTTGGTTTTCTTACTCTTCAACAGTACAAAAGCAGGAGGGTGCTCTGGCTTGGCAGCAGTATGAAGAGACCACACACTTCATGGGAGCTTCATGGAAAGCAATGTGGGTTATTAAAAAACAATGTCGTTTTATGTTCAAAGCCGTATCTCATCAAAATCAGGGTGAGTGAGTTTGCACTCAGTACTGGTGGGAGAACATTTAGAACTCTATGTGTACCGTGGTCATCAACAGCAAAAACAAACAAACAAACCCACTGCCATTGAATTAATTTTGATTCACAAAGACCCTAAAGGACAGAGCTGCCCATTGGGTCTCCAAGGCTATACATCGTTATGGAAGCAGACTGCCACATCTTTCTCCCATGGAGCGGCTGGTGGGTTCAAACTGCTGACTTTTCAGTTCACAGCTGAGTGCTTAATCACTGTGCCACCAGGGCTCATCAACAGTCATAACTCAAACTACTCACTGCTATCGAGTAGGGATCCCTCCTTGGGTTTCCAAGGCAGCATCTCAACGGAAGTAGATTGCCTAACCTTCCTTCCGAGGAGGGGCTGGTGGGTTTGAACCGTCAGCCTTCTGGTTAGCAGTCAAATGCTCATAAAGGAACAGAGAAAGGAAATGTCTCCCCAGAAAGGGGGACCAGGATGGTGGAAAACCCCACTGCCATCAAGTCACTTCGACCTCACGGAGGCCCATGTGTTTGAATAGAACTGCCCCACAGGGTTTTCTCGGCTGTCATCTCTACGGAAGGTCACCAGGCCTCTCTTCGGTGGCACGGCTGGATGGGTTCGAACCACCAACCTTTAGGTAAGCAGTCAAGCACAAACCGTTTGCACCACCCAGACTGCTTCCCAGAATGGTGAGGGGTCTAGAAATTGTGCCACATGGGTAAATACTTTGAGGGAGGATGGGACGAACTGGGGGTACTTAGCACGGAAAAGAGAGGAAAGACTGGCCTCTCCAAGAAAGCCTGATCCTGTGTAGCTCCAGACGGCAAGCTAAAGCCAGTGAGGAACAAGCATAAGCCTCGGAAACCCAAGGAGGGGTCACTATGAGTTGGGGCCGACTCGATGGCACATAACAACAACAACGTTCACAGCTTTCTAACAAGCAAACAGTCCAATCTTCACAGACAGTGAGCTCCACGTCACAGAGGTAACAACCTGGAAAACAGGCTCTGACACTCAGCAGGAGTGAGTGGCCAGATGACCTTTCAGCTCTCTCCCAACTCTAAAGTTCTGTGGAGCTCTGGTAGCACAGTGCCTAAGGCACTTGACCGCTAACCAGAAGGCTAGTGGTTCAAACCCATCAGCAACTCCTCGGAAGGAAGGTTGGGCAATCTACTTTCATAGTGATACTGCCTCAGAAACCCAAGGAGGGGTCACTATAAGTCAGGTCCGACTCGATGGCACATAACAACAACAACAAAGTTCTGTGACTTTTCTTTCCTTTTTTTTTATTGTGATTTGGGTGAAATTTTACAGAGCAAATTCACTTTCCATACAGCAGTTCACATATACTTTGTCTCATGACATTGACCACAATTTACCACAGTGCAACAGCTCCCCTCCCACTTCCTCCCAACAGTCACCTCTTCCCTGTGTCCATCCCTCCATGTACCCCTGCCCCCTGAGCTGTCTCCCTGTGCATACACAGCCCTTCTTTCTCCCATGATTGTTCTCTCTAAGGAGTGTATTTAACTTAGGTAAATGTTCAACTTATATGTCTGTCTTTTGCTTGGCTGGAAGCCACAGGTGTGGATTCAATTCCAGACTTGAAAGAAGGCTAGGGGCCATAGTCTCAGTGGTTCCACCAGGTTCTATCACACCAGCGAACCTGGTCCCCCTTTTTTTTTTTTTCCAAATGCTTTTGAGTTTTGTTCCACATTGTTCTCCCTCTCCATCCAGGGTCTCCTACATAGATCCCTCTCTGAATGGTTGACATTGGTAGCCAGGCACCATCTAGTTCTTCTGGTCTCATAGTCATATAGGCTGCAGATCACATGCTGTACCAGTCGCTAGGACTAATTCTTTCCATGAATCTTTGGTTTTCTTCATTCTTCTTTGTGCTGGACGAGTTGAGACCCATCATTGCATCTAGATGGCTGCTTGCAGGCTTTTAAGATCCCAGTCGCTACTTGCCAAAGTAGGAGGTGGAACAATGTTTTATGTAGTATGTTATGCCAATTGAGCTTGATGTCCTCTGTGACTATAGTCCCGAGCCCACAGGTTCAACTACTCGGTCCCTCTGGGTAGCTGACTGTGACCAAGAAGTGAGTACAACCTTGTCCCCTGTCAGCTCTACTATACACCTGGGAATTCAGATCCCTGTGACTTTCTTGAATCTCAAATCTACCAGTAATTTTTGGAACAGAAACATCTGTGCTGAGTCTCAGTAACCCACCATCAACTGAAAGAATGAGCAGCCTGACCATGGCTTGCTCAGGCTGCACACCTGTCTGCAGGGCATCTGCACCTCCTCTCAGGGTGACCCAACTTCGTGTGAATGTATTTCAGAGGCCAGGTACATTTCACTGCAGGTTACACATTTGTACCCTCATCTCTTGGCCCTGAACTGCACACACAACCTCCAGTCTCATTTCATCCTCACCACATGACACTTCATTCCCGAACACATGAGTAAGGCCACATTCTTAACCTCAAAGAACCCATTTCTGGGTGTTGTTTCATTTTAAGCTAACAAAACTAAACTCCATCATCTCTAGCACACTTCAGGGGACCCAGCACTCCATACATCATCTGAGCTCATGGAATGCTGCCTGGCGAGGGGTACGGGGAAGCCAAACAGCAGAACTTATGCGGCCATTGTCCGTGGGACTCGGACACTAAGGTTCGTGTTTCAGAAGAATAGTCATAGGCCAAGTGGGCTTGACAGATCTGAGTGGTCCGACCCTCACGGAGGCAGAGATTAGAGCGATTCCACAGTGACAACATTTGGGGTCAGCAGTGGCTCAGGTACCTGGGTAGGCAAGAGCCTTCACAAACAGGACAGCCACTACTAAAACGCATGGAGTGCTAACTGATCGAGCACCAGGCACTGCCTGTACTAAGGACTCTTCTTACATCAGCCCACTGAGTCCTCCCTGGGGATGAATGGGGACCCTGAGTGGCTCTACTGCTGACCTGAATGCTGTCAGTCTGAACCTACCCAGTGGCACTGCAGCAGACAGACCTGGCACTGGGCTCTTGTAAATATTACAGCCAAGAACCCTGGGGAGCAGTTCCACCCCGTAACACACGGGGCCGTCACAAGTTGGAACTGATTTGACGGCAATGAGGCTTTTTGGGTTTAGGGAGTAAATGGAGGCCGTGGTGGTGCAAGGATGGAATTCTCGCCTTCCACGAGAGCCCTGGACGTGACTCCCGGCCAGTGCACCTCACACACACATCAGTGGAGGTCGCTAGGAGGCTGAACAGGTTTTAGCAGAGCTTCCAGACTCAGACCGACTAGAAAGGAAGGCGTGGTGATCCACTTCTGAGGATCAGCCAGGGAGAGCCCTGCAGATGCCAACAGGCCCTTTGCGTGGGGTCACCAGGAGTCAGGGGCCTTCCTGGTGACAGCCAACAACAGAACGTGCATGGGGTCGCCACGAGTCAGGCGCCCGCCTGGTGACGGCCAACAACAGGGAACTAAGACTACTATTATCCCAACTTTGCGTGAGTTTCGGCAGTCCAGGCGAGGATGATAAGCAAGGAGGCAGGGCCAAACACCAACCTTTCCGAGCCTCACACTTCACTGCCCAGGCTCCCGCCCAACAAGCCCAAACCCAAGTGCCTGGAAAAGCCCCAGATGTCCCCGGCCCCTGGGCCAGAGCCACCTCCCCAGGGCAATGAGCAGCTCCAAACTGCTCCGTCACACACAACTGCTCATGGGTGGTAGGGGAGGAGGGCACAGGCCATGGGGACTTACTTTATCTGTAACTAATAAAACGTAAAAAGAGGAAGTGCTCCTACCCAAGCAACAAAGAGTAACCTGGGGAAAACAGTTCTGACGGTCTCAGCTAGGAGACACATTCAGTGCTGGCGTGGACATGAGCTGGCCTCAGTGTGGACTCTCAGCTGGTGTGGACATGAGCTGGCCTAAGAGAGGTTCATTTCAAGCTTCCATCAATGCAAAAGCCCTCTGCAGAATCAGCACGTAACTACTTGCAGAATAAATGCATTGATTTGGAGGTTGTGCTTAAAATGCCTATTCATTAGCTACCCACGCCCTCATACTCCCAGACGCTCATAATTCCAGAACAGTCTGAATGCACTCTTGAGTCAAAGAGCAGTTGTGAACTCTCATGAGTTCACAGGAAAACAGATGAGAAAAGGAGAAGGATCCTTGAAAGCATACCTCCTCGCCTCAATAACCCAAGTACCAAGTACCAGACCCCCGAGAGTGGATGCAGGCACCTCGGGCATGGTCAGGGAGACAGTAGGCCAGGGGGCAAGGGCACCTGCCTGGGGCCAGGAGACCGGGTCTCAGACCTGGCCGTTTGTCAGCAACATGACTGAGACACAGCATCCAAGCTACTCCAACTCTCAGAGGGGCAGTGTCTTCAGGTGTCACTGGGCAGGAGGGCCTGCTCCCCTCCCCAGTGTGCCAAGTGCAGAGGACAAAGGCCAGGAACTGCTGCTCACCTGAGTGCTGGTGGCCTCTCTCTTGGTGGCGCTCTGGGCCTGCGGGGGCCCCTGGGCAGGGGACAGCCTCGAGGGGCTCTTCTTGCTCTGCGGCAGCAGCGAGGACAGGAAACCCACACGTGGCGACTGGGAGAGGCCGGCACTCCTCTGGCTACACACCATGGCTCTGGTCAAGCAGACACATGGTCACAGGGGCACCAGACGCAGCTTCCTGCCCAGGGCCTGGGCGGGGCTCACGTGTCTGCGCTCACGCCCCTGGGCGTGAAGGTGGCTCACCCCGGGGTGCCAGCAGCTGGCCTGGCACACCATGAAGGCCGCAGTGAGGCTCCAGCTGTGCTGGCCAGAAGCCACTGGCCACAAGCGCCACTGAACACTGAACATGGTCCAGATTGAGGAAGGCACACACTGGAACCAGGGACTTGGAGTGAAAAGCACACATGCATGTCTCAGCAAGGGCATAGCGTGACACGCTGAAAGGGATTGGGGACACAGCTGGCGAACTCAGACACATGCTTAAGATCAGCTTCACCTGCTTCTCATTATTTTTTAAAACATGGCTGCTGACAACTTAGCATCTCATCTGGGCTTGCATTCTGTTCCCATGGGGCCATGGGGCCATGGGGCTGTGCAGGCCCGGAAGTGAGAGCAGTTTCTTTGGAAGCAGGGCTGGGGGGGGTGCTCGGGAACCTGCCTGCTGAGTCTGCACCTGGCTCACCACTTACTAAGTGGGTGCCAGATCTGAGCATGCATCATTGCTGTTATTACTGTCGCCATCATCATCACCACCACCACCTCAGGCTTCTGCTGTTGCAGGCTGCTTTAAGGTCACTCGCATACCTCTCTCCTAATTTGCCCACCTCTTTGCACCCTCAGACAGATGCACACTTCTACCGTGAGACGCATCCAGCCTGTGGCTGTCCATCTTCTCCTACACAAGGAGGGCCTCTCAGTTGATAAACACAGCCTATACCTACGACAGCGGTCATGCAGGATGGATTGGCCCTGCACGTCTGCACCTGCAGCCCCTCCCCATATCTGGACCTGCAGCCTCTGCCTGCACATCTGGGCCTGCAGCCCCTGTCCCACATCTGGACGCACAGCACCTCCCTGCATCTGGGCCTGCAGCCCCTGTTCCACATCTGGACCTGCAGATCCTGCCCAGTAAAGCTGTGCAGCTCCCCACTCTGGACACAGCAGAGGCTTGGGGGTTGGGACCAGCTCCTACAGGACTGATGGTAAATGTAGGGGCTGGGGATCAGGACAGTCTGAAGCAAGAACAGTGTGTGTCCAAGAGGCTGTGTAGCAATTCCTGTGGCCAGGAGGAGCTGGGAGGGAGCTGAGAGGATGGCCCTCCCACCTGCCCAGGAGCTGCCTTGCACTCACAGCTCCGAGTCCCCCAGGCGGTCCATGTTGGAGACGTAAGGAGGTAATTTGTGCTGGACGGAGGCCTCACCCTCAGCCGGCTGCTGCTCCTCTTTCCTCAGTCGGTGGATTTCGGCTTGCAACGCGAAGAGCTACGCAGCGTGAAACTCAGTGAGATAGTGTTCCGGCCTCACCTGCCCTCCACTGAGGCCACTTCTAGACAGATCACATCCAAAGCCCACCCTCCCAGCTGAGACGCCCCACACCGCCCGGCCCCACAAGGTGCCTCTCACTTCCTGCAAAGTGTGCGCTGGAAAACGGAAACTGGAACCCAACGGCTCTTCCCCCACGAGCAAGCAGAGAAAAGCCCAAACTCTCAGACATGCAAAACCCACATTTTTCCCTTCTCATCTGGGACATGCTTCTTCCCAAATTTACTGGGAGAACAGCTCTACCCAGTCCTGCTTTGCTTTCTGGAATCTGCAAAATCAGGCTCAGGGACTCTAACAGAAAAGCTGAAAATAGAATTACAGCATTCTTAACATTCTCCCTGGAGAAAACTATCCATACATACACACCCCAAATGCAAGGATTTCAAAGTCCCCAAACCTCAATAGCTTACAATCTTCCTGTTCCCGAAAATATACCCTCCTGACATCTTCAAGGACAGAGAACTTTATGACAAATGTGGGTCCTGCGGCGCCACCTTTTCCTGATTCAACTAGAATCACAGGGCTGAGTAAATCAACAAAAACCAAACTCATTGCCGTCAGGTCAAATCCGACCCATAGACACCCCTCCTTGGGTTCGCGAGGCGGTATCTCTACGGAAGTAGATTGCCCAGTCTTCCTTCCGAGGAGTGGCTGGTGGGTTTGGACCGCCAGCCTTCTGGTTAGCAGTCAACTGCCTGAGGCACTACGCTACCAGAGCTCCCTACAGGGCTGAATAGGGAGAAGTAAATTACATCTGGGATGTAACCTATAAAAACCCACTCCCCTGTCGTCAAGTCTGACTCACAGCCCCTCTGGAGGACAGAGCAGAACTGCCCCACAGGGTTTCCAAGGCTGAAATCTACAGAACTAGACTGCCACATATTTCTCCTACAGAGCAGCTAGTGGCTTCAAATTGCCATCTTCTCAGTTGCCAGCTGAGTGCTTAACCACTGTGCCACCAGAGCCCCTGCAAACAAAACCGACACAGACATTGTGCAAAAGAACTAGGAGCGTAAGACAGACAGACGAGGGCCGGCCTCCTGAGGTGGCAGGACTACAGTCCCTCCTTCCACAGATTCGTCGCTGTTACCAGATGGTTCATGCTGCACACATGACTTTAAAGCTCGAGCCCCTGAACCCTGACACTGGTTTCTGGTGACTCCCTCATCTGCAAAGTCCCACTTCCTACGTGTCCTCCAGCTCTCTGCCAAACCCATACCCAAAAAGCCCGAGAGCCCCCCGAGGCGTGCCCACTCAAACAAACCTTCTGACGTAGGACTTCATTCTCCTCCTGGATCTGATTGGTCCTCTGACACTCCGCATCGAAGCTCAGGATCACAGGAACTGGTGCACAGGTTAAGGGACAAGCCCACCTGGGGACACTGAGAAGGCCCTCCCAGAGCCCTGTCCCAGCGGCACAGCCCAGGGCCCAACACAGGGCACGGCGGGGCCCTGGGGTCTTCACAGCTGCATCACACAGCCTCCTCGCTCTGGGCCACCACTCAAGCCTGGCGGGATTTCCACAGCCCAGGGCGCTCTGCCTGGCCAGCTCACAGAGAGGACATAAGACCAGGAGCAGGTGGGGCAGAGCTAGTACCCAGCAGACTTCACAGCCAGGCCAGACATTCTGCTAAAAGCAACCCCGGAGGCCAAGGCCCCACAGGACACAGCCAGGCAGTCAGCCACTCAGCTCTCCCTGCCCAGGTGGAACCTTCTCTGGCAAAAGCTTACGCTGAGAGGGAAAGCGGGCTGCACATTGCATGGCCACAGCCCACCCCGTGAACAGCCAGCCCAGGGGAGGATATCAGCTTCCTCGCCTCTGACAGCCCCAGCCAGGAGGAGCGGGCAGCAGCCTGGCCTCAGCTCAGGGACGTGCAGCTCAAATGTGCATGTCCTAGTTTGCAGGGCTCTGTTTTGCTCCCGAAAGATCTCAAATGACCCCTGCATTTCCCCTGCTGGACCCACAGAGTCACGCAGCAGCCCTTCTAAGCTAAGCCCCCCACACCTATCTGAGACTCCCCAGGACATAGAGCAGCAGCAGGTGGAAAGAAAAGTGCAGTATTCCCACTCCTCCACCCCAGAAAAGGAGCGGAAACAGGGCCTCCCTTCCTCCCCCAGAAAACGGCCCCTCCCAGAGGCCGAAACCACACCAGCACATGGTCCTCTGCATGCCCCAAACTTATCAGCGCCTTCCAGGCAGCCCCATTCCAGAGACTTCCTGCTCCTCCCTGATGTCAGCCTACAGCAAGAGCATGGGTACAGCCTGGGCCTTGGGCTCAGGGAGACAAGAGGGCAAAGGTGGTCAGTGGCAGTTACGTACAACACGCCCACTTATTAACTACAGGGATACATAGACAGACGAGAGTCTTTATGTGTTCTCTCCCCCCCCCCCATATATACACCACTGTTTTGCAGGAGGCTGAAGAACACTGAGGTCACTGTCAGAGAGTAACTCAGATTAACACAGGCAGCAAGTTCAACCCCACAGGTGTCCTTGTCTGCCACCTCATCCCAGCCAGGACAACAGCTACCCTCGGGGCACTGAGCAGCACACACGGAGAGGGTGTTTTCATGGCTGGCCAGTCTCACCAACAAGCAGCTGCCCTCTTGCTCCTGGGTCTGCAGTGAGAGGCCCCAGCCTGGTGGAGCCCGGCACCGACATCCCACCGTCCAGTCCCACCCACGCGGGTCAGCAATCAATTCCGTAGCGCAGTGGCATAACTAAGATTTACAATCCTGTGGCTTGCCAACAAGAATAACCACAGCTCAGGCAGTACCTCACACAGCCATGACAGTGACCCAGGGCATGGCAGGGAGAACCGGGGCCCTGACCCCACTGTTGGGGGACCTCCAAGGGACCCCGCTGGTGCTGGCAGGATATGCATGCATTGCAGCAGGACGCTCAGGAAGTTGTGCAGGGACACGATAAAGGTGTCAGCCCACTGCCGCGAGAAGTAGGTGGCGAAGGTGGGGTTGGTGTCTGGGGAGGGCAGGAAGGGCAAGGCAAACCAATCCTTCCACTCGGCCTGGTTCTGAAGCTCAGCGGCCTGCTTGACAAAGAACTCCTGGGCCTTGTCAGTCCTGTTGGTCTGCCAAGACATGAGGGAGGGAGTGAGGACGGGCAGAGACAAGTGTGCAGGGGTGAGTCCACATTGCTGCACCACAGAGCCGGGCTATCTGCCTGCCAGGTATGGCCAGATAGCTGACATATGTATGTTGTGATGTAAAGAAATCTTTACTCTTTCTTCAAAGATCATGCAGTTTCAAAGCTAGTTTCAACAGAAGTTCTAAATGGCACCCTGCAAATTAACTCCTAGTTTATTTTCCAATAACCTGCGTGATGTATTTCCCCCAGCCAGCTATAACCTTTATGTCAAAATGCAACCCAGCCACTCAGATCCTCAAAACCACCCCCTGGACTAACATGCTTAAAACAAGAAAGGAAACAGGAATGAGGAAGAAGAGTCAGATGATGCCCAGATGATGAGAAGGAAAAGTCACAAGTCATTAGCCAGGACTGTTCTACCCCTTTCTCTGACATGCAAAGTCCTCCCTGGGGTTACAAGAATGCCTCCTTCTGGATCAAAGCCTCTCTCCACCATGTCATCCACACACACCTGGATCGTATAGATGAGATAAAAGCGGAACAGGCTGGTTTTCAGTTTGTTGATGGTGGGTCTATATATATCCTCCAAGCGGCTGAAGAGCCGGCGCTCCAGGTAGCTCCAGTAATCCCGGAGGGCAGCCAGGTCGTACACCTGCATTAACTGCTGGAGTTGGTCTACAATCTTGTCCACCTGGTGAGAGACCGGCGGGACGGAGAAGCTAGTGAAGGTCAGGAGGGAGTCCTCCTTCACCCCACCAACACAGCTTTTTCCTCCAGCTGTGGTTTCTGGATGTTTACAAATAAAAATGAAATGAGCAAGCTACACCCATTTGAAAAGTTATTACTACTGCAGTGACTGTTGTTTTCCAATGTTAGGTATCTGGTTTGAGTCTCTAGCAAACATGGGAAGTTGAGGTGGAAAAAGTAAGAGTTGTGGCCCAGAAACCAGGTCTGGGCCTGGGTCTTGGCTCTGCAGCTGACTAACTCGACCACCTGGGCAATGAACGTCACCTCAACTCTCTGGTCTCAGTTGCCACGAATTTGGGGAAAAACAAACAAGAGCGAACAGATGGATTAAGATGCTCTCCACGGCCCTCATCCCGGCTGCACAACTCCAAGATTCCAAGGTTCGCCATGTGCACTGATTCCTTCAAATCACCAAAGTGCCACCAAAGTGGCAGGCAATGAGGAAGTAAAACCAGAGTGCACAGTCTGGAAAGACGGTGATTACCAACCCAACCTCCGCATTTTACAGATCCAGGAGAAGTAAACTGATTTGCTTCTGCCCCCTAAGGAGCCACTAACATACCTGGTAGCCTAGTGGCTAAGCAATTTGGCTGCTAAACTAAAGGTCAGTGGTGCAAACCTACCAATCATACCATAGGAGAAAGATATGGCTGCCTATTCCCATAACTCTGGTAGCATAGTGGCTAAGGCACTTGACTGCTAACCAGAAGGCTGGCGGTTCAAACCCACCAGTCACTCCTCAGAAGGAAGATGGGGCAATCTACTTCCGTAGTGATACTGCCTCAGAAACCCAAGGAGGGGTCGCTATGAGTCGGGTCCGACTCGACGGCACATAACAACAACAACAACATTCCCGTAACGATTACAGCGTTGGTAACCCTACTGTGATACAGCAGAGAGAAGGGCAGCCGCTCCAGAACTTGTCCGTCTGTCCTACTGTGGTGGCTCGGGTACTGCTGTGATACTGAAAGCGATGCCACTGGTACTTCAAATACCAGCAGTCACCACAGTGGACAGATTTCAGCAGCACTTCCAGACTAAGACTAGGAAGAAAACCTGGTGATTGACTTTCAAAAATCAGCCAGTGAGAACCCTGTGGTCAACAGAGTACTGCCCAGTACAGGGCGGGAAGACAACAGCCCCCAGGCAGGGCGGCCCTCCACAGCGGTCTGAACGGCAGAGCAGTTCAGTTCAGCGGTGCACGGAGTCACCAGGCCCACGGCAATCAACAGGTGGCCACTGACTGTGGCGAGACAAGAAACCAGGTCTCCTAACCCCTGCTGGGGGCTCTCAAGTCACCTGCCAAACCCCAACATGGGGGCATAGGAACCACACATACAGTATCAAAGCCTCACATCTTTCAACGGAAAATCATGTCAGAGCAGGGGAAGCAGAAGTTTAAAACGCACAAGACGTCTTCCGCAAGTGCAGATGCCACCCTACCCCTGAGTCAGACTTAAACAACAAAAGACACCTGAACCCAGCTAACATTTTAGGCGGCAGACTCATTGCTCCCAACGCCAGCGGACGCCACCCCTGGTCTATTTCTGTTGCCATCTACCCAACTGTGGCTTCGGAAACTTCAACATCGCTGTGGCCAAAGGTGGGGACCAGAGCTCTGAACCGAGAGGCCAGCCCCCTGGGCTCCCGCCGCGGTGATGCTCCCGACTCGCTGGACAACGACAGCAGGTCAGTCCCTTCCCCAGGGCCTAGGTTCTTCATCGGTCAGCGAAGGCCGGATGCAAGATGTGACATCCCACCGCGCGGTGACAGAGCCTCTCCCTCCCCGCAGGGCCGGGCTGGGGACGGCCCTCTGCGGACTCCCTGGGGGCCTACCCCGCCCGCGTCGCGGCCACTGGCCCCTCACCCGGAACCCCTTCTCCTTGTCCGCCTTGATCTCGGCGTCCAGCTGCCGCAGTGTGTGCGTGAAGCCGCGAAAGAGCAGGTACTCGCGGACCAGCTCATCTGTGCGCTCCACCGCCTCCGCCATCACTGCACCAAAGCCTGGAGGCGCCTCGCGGGCCCGGAGCGGAAAGGCAGGGCGGGCGCCGAGAGCATCACATCGCGGCCGGCCAATGAGCACGCACGCCCAAGCACGCCCGCGGCCCCGCCCCTTCCCGGTTCCTCCCCCTACCCCGCCCCAATTTCAGTTGCCGCTCGGCTCTGGCCCGCCCCTATTCTGGGGTCTAGCCCCGCCCCCAGCTTTAATCTCAGCCCTTTGCAGGTCCTTGACCCCGCCTCCAGCCTCATTCTAGGCCCCGGCCCTGCCCTGGACCCGCCCCCAGCTCTGACCCGACCTTCCCCGGGCCCAGCCTCAATCCCAGTGGGCCAACCCTGAGTCTGGGCACCGCCCAGGTCCAGGCCCCGCCCCGCCACCGCCTCAGCCCCAGCCCCAACCCCAGCCCCGCCTCCGATCCCGCCCATAGCCTCGGCCTCGCTCACAGCATCGTCCCCGCCCAGCCCTGGCCAGGATCTCCTGAAGGGCTGAGGGCCTAGCAGAGCCGCTGCTTTCCTGGCATCTGGTTACTGAAAGCGGCGGCTGCCGCCCGAGCCACTCTTGCAAGCAGGGCTGGAATTTAGGGAACTTCCCAGTCACGAGGCTGGAAGGGATGCGGAGCCCTGCTTATTGGCATTACGTCTAGGAATCCTATGTACCCTTAACCACGTTCTCCAGGTGGGGAACGTGTGAAGTCACACAGCGAGGCGTGTCTTCGGAGAGCCTCAAGTTCCCCAAAAGCGTCCACTAAAAAGAATAATTGATGACACAGCCAGATAACCAGGGCACAATGTTATGAGAAAAAAGACAGGTTCCAGAACAGTGTGCACAATGTTTCCAGTTTGTTTCTCACAGAAAAAAAAAAAAAGCGTGTGTGTGTGTGTGCATGGGTGTGTGTGCGTGCCGGTGTGTATGGGTGTGTGTTTATGTATGTATGTGTGTATGAGCATACGTGTGTATGGGTGTGTATGTATGTGTGTGTGTGCACGTGTGTGTGTGTGTACTGTTAAATCAATGAGGAAGATCGTGCACCAAATATTTATAGTAATTTTCTCTGAGAACTGAGATTGATTATGGGGACTTTTGCTTCCTATTTTCTACTGTTTGAAATTGTACTAAGTGTGTGTGTGTGTGGTTTTAAACAGGAAAATAGTTAATACCTTTGAGCTTTACTTTGCCATCTGTAAAATGGTAACAGTCACACCTGCCTTGCTGTTATAATGAGAACTGAGTGAGATAATGTATGTAAAACTCCCGGCACCGTGAACAGCCCCTGTTGAAATGGAATAAACGTTTATTCCCTTCTCCCTCCCTCTACCTGTATGACTTTTTGTATTTGTCCAAGTCGTTCCTGCCTTCCTGCCCAGACCCTCAGTCCTGCTCTGTGGAGATTCAGCCTCAAAGGGGCTCCTCTGGTCTGCACTCCAGAACCTGGAGAACTAACAACGAGCAGGCCGCGATGAGACAAGGCTGGCTTGCCCTGTCCTCTCTGCCTGCTTCACTGGGCTCCACAGCCATGAGTGTCTCCCAGAAAACCAGCCTGCAGTGCAGGAGAGGACAGGCCTCTGTGACTCCTCCCAGGACCAGAGCAAGTCCTGGTCCAACTGGGACCTCAGATTATCGAAAGTGAACTTGGAAATCCTAACAGGCAGCACCCGAGAACCTTCACCTGAGGGAATGGAGGAGCCCTGGTGGCACTACGGCTAAGTGCTTGGCTGCTGACCCAAAAGCTGGCAGTTCAAACCCATCAGTGGTTCCATGGGAGAAAAGACCAGGTGACCTGTTTGCGTAAAGATTACATACATCCTGGATAGAGTGGGAGAACAATGTGGAAGAAAACTCAAAATCATTAAATAAAAATAAAAGGGGGGAGGGGGGGGACCAGGTTTGCTGGTCTCGTAGAGCCTGGTGGAACCACTGAGACTATGGCCCCTAGCTGCCCTTCAGGTCTGGAATTGAACCCACACCTGTGGCTTCCAGCCAAACAAAAGACAGGCATATGAGCTAAACATTTACATTAGGTAGATACACTCTTTGGACAGATCAATCATGGGAGAACAGAAGGGCTGTGTATATACAGGGAGACAGCTGTGGGGGCAGGAGTGCATGGGAGGGAAGAACACAGGGAAGAGGTAACTATGGAGAGGAAATGGGAGGGGACCTGTTGCATTGTGGGAGATTGTAGTCAATGTCATGAGACAAAGTGTATGTGAACTGCTGTACAGAGGATGAATTTTCTCTGTAAACTGTCACCCAAATCACAATAAAAATTTTAAGAGAAATTACAGCCTAGGAAACCCGATGGGGGCAGTTGTACTCCATGCTATAGGACCAATATGAGAACCGACTAGGGGCACACACAACAACAACAACAAGGACACCTGAACTGTACAGTGCCCACCTCCCCCCCACACCTGCCCAGCTCTTTCCAGACCCACCCACTGCTACCGAGCTTGTAACTCATCACAGCCCCACAGGACAGAGTAGAACTGCCCCAGAGGGTTTCCAAGGTGGTTATCCTTAGGGACCCTTCTCCCGTGGGATGGCTCATAGGTTTGAACGGCCATCTTTTCAGTTAGCGGCCAAGTGCTTCACCACTGCACCACCTGGGCCCCTTCCTCCCAGAACAAGGCCTGTGAAACCAGCAAAAATGGGTTTTCTGATCAATAAGAGAAGACGTGAGTGGCAGGCCGCTCCCCAAGTCCTCAGCATAGCTTTTCCCTCTGCCTACAGATACTCACCTGCATGGTGCTCCCTCCCGCTCCCGGGTTTGCTCAACCGTCACCTCCAGAGAGGGCTCCTCTCTCTGGGAAATAGCTGCCCCTCTCCCGCGTCCTCAGACTTCCTTACCTGGCTGTGTCTTCCTCCGTAACACTCATCACTATATGACAGCTATGTTCCCAAGTGAATTGGGTCCCAAAAATTGATGTTGAAGCCCTAACCCATTTACCTGTAAACATGACCCTGTTTGGAAACAGAGGTTTCTCTTGTTATGTTAGTGGGGTCACAGGAGAGTATGGTGAATCCTAAACCTATTGACTTCTGAGTGGGGGAAAAGACCGCATGAGTGACTTTCTGCATGCCCAGGAATGCCTAGTAAACACCAGAGCTACCACCACGCAGGGTCACTCGCTGAGAGCCCACGTCCTGATTCACACTTGTAGCCTCCCTGTTCCCATTCTGTAAAGCCACCTACTGGTGGTATTTCCGTTATGTGGCTGTCTCGGTTCTCTACTGCTGCTGTAATGGAAATACCACAAGCGGATAGCTTCAGTGAACAGGAATTTACTCTTCCGCAGTTTGGGAGGCCAGAAGTTTGAGTTTGGAGAGCCAGCTCTAGGCAGATCTTTCTCTGTGCATCTCTCATTCCTAGGGGGATCCCAGCACGGGAAGCCAGGTCCAAAGTACGCACCCTGCTCCTGGTTCCTCTTTCTTGGGGGTAGTGGCCTCCCCACACCTGCTCCCTTATCTCTCCTCTCATCTCCTGTAAGATGAAATGTATTACAGGCCAACCGCCAGGGAAGCTCCCTGACATCAGATCAGGGCTGTGACGGGACCAAGAGTGTTGCAACCCACCCTTAATCTTAATCCTTTTCCACAGGAAAAGGCTTCTCACAGCCAACCACATCACGGGGTATCCTTACGTATGTGCCACGCTACATCATTACATGACTTCTAAACCACTGAGAATCCTGGTCCAGCCAAATTGACACAGATTCTGGGGCAATGCAATTTGATGCACAACAGCAGCTCTAGTAATTAAGACACTATCTATTCATCAATTTCTTCAAAAGCTTCTGGTATGTCTAGCTCCCACCACCACCGTCAGAACCACCACACCACTAAAACGTAAGCCCCACAGAAGCAAAAATTGTTGGTGTTCTTTGCTGCTCTATCCCCCAAGCCTATAACGGTATGTGCCTTACAGTAAGTACTCAGTAAGTGTCTGTGGAATGCGTGGATGAGGACAGGACAGCCTCATAGGGGAGAATAAATGCTTGAATCATTCCCGTGTGTGACTCTGTGGCTTCAGGACCCCAGATCCCTGTCTTCCCCACTGTGTGTGTGTTCTGCTCTTTTGATAACCCTGAAAGGGTTGACTTCAGCCCCGTCTACTCTGGTATGACCTCATTGACATAACATAAAGGTTTCCATCCATGGGTACAAGGGTTAAGAGCTGAACACATTTGGGGGCTGGACAATTCAGTCCATGGTAGCCCCTATTTCTTTTGACCGTCATGCAGCCCCATAAAGTAAACCTTTTTTTTTTTTTTACCTCATTTTAAGGATAGAAAACTGAGATTCAGGGGGACTAAGTGATTTACAGCTCTCACCTAGGGAAAACGCAGAACAAAGTGTCAAATTCCCATTTTCTGGTCCCAAGTTGTACCCTGCTGAGAGCTTGGCAGAAATGTCGTTGAAGGGGTCAGTTTGGGGAAAAGGCCACTTGGGTGAGAGAGGATGAACTACGGCTGCTCCCCAGGAGTGTCGGAGCTCAGCCTGACCAAGCACAGTGTCTTTAGTAGCTGGAGTCTCTGCCCACATGGCAGGGATCCATCAGGTCAGCCCTGAGGAGCCAAAGAAAACAGGTTGGGAGCTCTGGTAGCATAGTGGCTAAGACACTTGCCTGCTAACCAGACGACTGGCGGTTCAAACCCACCAGCCACTCCTCGGAAGGAAGGTTGGGCAATCCTACTTCCGTAGTGATACTGCCTCGGAAACCCAAGGAGGGGTCGCTATGAGTCAGGTTTGACTCGACGGCACATAACAACAACAACAACAAGCAGGTAAGCGCAGAAGCACACCTGGAGCTCTCCAAGGTGCTAGAATGACCTTAGGACTTCACCTTCTCCCCTCACCTCAGAAGACCTGGTGGTGCAGTGGTTAAGCACTTAGCTGCTAACTGAAAGGTCATCAGTTCAAACCCACCAGCTGCTCCACAAAAGAAAGATGTGGCAGTCTGCTTCCATAAAGATGACAGCCTTGGAAACACT